AGTCAAAAATTTTGTCTGCATAAAGTTATTTGTTTTTTTATCAAGAATAACTAGCATATAATCCTAAAATATTCTCATTATTTTACTTGAGACATAATAGGAAAACGATGTAATTTTGATTAAATTAGCCTGCGATCATAAACTTCTTGTAGAAATTATCATAATTGTGCGTTAAATTTGAGCGACATAATTTCTTAAGGTGGTTTCCGAGGTTCGCCAAGAGGTGGTAGCGGTTTTAGAGGTTCACCAAGAGGTGTACGGGGCTCACCACGAGGAGGAGGTACTGTTTTATTTATATAACATAGATATCAAACTAATAAACTTTTTTAGTTTGAAGTGATATTATAGCATTTCTTAAATATAAAGTTTCAGGTCGAGGTGGTTTTGGAGAACGAAGTGGTGGAGGACGAGCAAGTTTTGGTGACAGAAGTAATGCTGGAGGATTTGGTGATAGAAGAGGAGGATTTGGTGATAGGAGAGGTGGTGGTGGAAGAGGTTTCCGAGGCGGAGAAAGGTGCGAATCTTGTAGTACTTTATAATAAGCTATCAATCGTAGAGTGATTTGCTCGTGTTTTCTAGATTGGCCGCTTGTTATGAACCTTACTTTCATACAATTTATACATTTTAATATTTTATTATGTGAAAATAATTAATCCTTCGTTGATAATTATGATATCCTTTTAAATTTTATTTGCATACATCTTTTATGCAATAATAATAAGAATGTTTTGTTTAAGAGGAAGAGGACGTTCACCTCGAGGCCGTGGTAGCCCTCGTGGAGGGCGAGGAGGAGGAATGAAGGGTGGTAAAAAAGTTATTATCGAGGCACATCGTCATGAAGGTAACTTCATTTAGAAATTATTTACTTTGAATAATGTCTGATTTTGATTCCATACTAAATATAATATAGATTTTATGTTTTCAGAAAACCTATGCTTAATGACTAATATATGTCCGGTGATTTATTCAGTTTCAGTTCCATATTACTGCTATGTTAGATTTGGAATAGTTGTGCTCACTTTTTATTTTATTTCTTTCAAAAGCGTTTCATTCTTTTTAGGTGTTTTCATCGTAAAGGGTAAAGAAGATGCGTTGGGAACTCGAAACTTAGTTGTAGGAGAATCAGTATATGGAGAGAAAAGAGTATCTGTTGAAAATGACGAAGGTAGTGAAAAGGTTGAGTATCGAATTTGGAATCCCTTCAGATCTAAATTGGCAGCTGCAATACTGGGTGGTTTGGATGATATTCATATTAAACCAGGATGTAAGCTTTTATATCTGGGCGCTGCTTCCGGTACAACAGTATCTCACTGTTCTGATATTGTTGGCCCTGTAAGTATTGTTTGTTCATTTATACTGGGATCAAAATTTTTTATGAATGACGCTACAGATATTCTGTCTTTGTCTGTTTATTTTTTATTTTTTTTAGTTTAATTGTTTTTCATTGTTTTATCTACTCATTAAATTCTAAAGAGATAAATTAGATTTCTGTTTATTGATTAGAATTTGATGGTTAAAAATTATTTTCAGGAAGGATTGGTATATGCTGTGGAGTTTTCTCATAGATCTGGTCGTGATCTTTTAAATGTCGCGAAAAAAAGGCCGAACATTGTTCCCATTGTGGATGATGCTCGTCACCCTCATAAATATAGGATGCTTGTTGGTATCTAGTTATAACTCACTTTCAGTACTTTATTTTTGTAGATATTTATTTAGAAACATATAGCAAGATTTAAATAGCGCTAAAAATTTTATTAATGTAAAATCGCAGATTGTAATTTTATTTAGTGAGTCAGTGACAAGAGGGAAAAATTTTGTTTTCAGTCATTTTTGGATCTCTCTTCTTTATATAAGCTTTTCTGACAAACGGTTAGTTTTAGGCGCGGTAGACACAATATTTTCGGATGTTGCGCAGCCAGATCAAGCCAGAATTGTTGCTTTAAACGCTCATCATTATTTAAAGAATGGTGGCCATGCTGTAATTTCTATTAAAGTCCGTTTTATTTTTAGTAACTGCCTAAACTTTTTAAAAATATGTTTAGATGCATGCATATCATTTTAAGCTTTTCAAACACTTGGTCAAAATTACATATATGGTTCTATCACACCAAGTTGAAATCTTTATTCAGGCTAATTGCATTGATTCGACAGCTGCTCCTGAAGCAGTGTTTGCTGGGGAAGTAAATAAACTCAAGGAAGAGAAGTTCAAACCACGGGAACAAGTAACTTTGGAGCCATATGAAAGGGATCACGCTGTAGTAGTTGCTGAATACCGTCCTTTAAAGAAAAAACAGGGCTGATATTGAATCAAAAATATTATTGTTTCTCGCAGTTAAAGTAATTTTTTAATATAATCTTGAACAAGTTTACTTTCTTTGCAGACAAAAGTAACTAGAAGTTTGGTTACTGCAGATGTGAATAATTCTGCAAAAGTAGGCTGCACAAAATCCTTACCACCAGTATTCAGTAATATCGTGATCTGAGATATAAATTCTAAGAATCATACCCTACATTACTGCTTGTTGTTATGTCTGTTTCATTTTCCTTTATATTGATGAATATTGTTAAGTTGTTATTATGAAATAATAAATTTCTGAATTTCTTCCTAGATATTAAGTATATCGCATGTGCGATTTTTACTGGAGGATGACAGTTTAACTAGCGTCTAACTTTGTATTTTTCATTCACTTGATTTAAATATGGAGTGTCAAATAAAGCTGGGTAAGTAATACAGTAGGAGTTGAACATGTGTGTAGGGGTATTTCATACGTTTGTGCATGAAATGTTTCGAAAATATAGGAGTGCAAAATTTTTGATCAGTGTAAGTTTTTGGTAAATTTGATGCTTGCTGCGTTAGAACTTCTATATCTGTCTGCTATTTGCTATTTGCAAGTACTGATTTTGCATATATATAGAAGCTGTGCTTTCTACTTGCGCAATACATCCATCTAAAGTTAACCTGGAAATAAATGCTTGGTAGGATAAGGTAAGGTAATTTTTAAAGCAAATGGGTGAGAAAAAAGACAAGTCAACGTTTGAGGGGTATTTCCTGTGAAGCATGTGGGTGGATTATGTTAGACATGGTTGTTATGCATAAGTAAGTGACTTTTGTTACCTCCGGTTTTCTGGCGCGTTTGGGATTTTACGTTTATTTTTCAAAGTACTATGTGCATGTGATAAGATCACTGTCAGGGAATTGCTTGCAGATGATTCTGATGATGGATATCCTTCCATGCTTGCGTGAGGCAATATAACAATAACTGTCAAAAACAGGATGGAATGAGCAGATTTAATTAGCATGAAATGAATAGAGAATTAGAATGCTGGGGAAGAAGGCAGATTGAATTTGTTTGCAATCGACTTTGTTGTCATTCACAGGTTAATATTGTCAGTTTATCTTTTCCAAGTAATATCTGATTTTATGTAAAGCTATTTTTTGAATTAACTTATCAGTACAATTACTTCAGCTATGTATATGTTGTTATTTTGCCTCACGCAAGTTATTCAGGTTTGTAAATGTTTGATGCATTATATTTGTGTTATCTACTGCTGTTGATTTCAGGTTTTCTTATTCGTGTAGCAGATAGAAAGCAAGTAAACTTATCTCCTTGAAAATGTATCTGATAGCATAAAGATTCGTAGGTTTTTTTCTGTTAACAATGTTATTTTAGTTTGCACATGTTTATTTTCAATATAATCATTGAGCAGATTGTCAGTAAAAAGGGTTCTATATCTTTTTTCACTCGTTCAATCTCTCATTTCCTGTTGTGATAATGAATATATGAATTCATAAGTAAAGTTGCTTGGAATTCTTGTTCGTTGTGTGAATAGTCTTTTTTTTTCCTCAATCACTGAGCATGTACGTGTCTCTCGTGTAAAATCTCCAATAAAGTAGCACTTATTGTAATTTTTTTCGCTCGAATATATTGAATTCCTTCAGTTATTCGTTTAGTTACTGACTAATTTGTGATATTACTGAAGAAAATATGGAAAATTTTTTGCATTGATATAAACAAGAGTGTATTAAATAGCAGAATATGATATGAAGTGATATGATCATTAGCTATCAGCAATCCTCTACCAATTTATCCCTGCCAGTTATTAGTATTTTCTGCATCGAAAGTACTTTGGTTCATGAGGAAGGTTATTGTTCAGTTTACTCATAGCATTCTTCTATTATTTGCTTTTCTCGACACTGGTAGAAAAAATTTAGTGTTATCATAGATGTCGTAGGTTATGTCTGTATTTATGTTTGTTTTGAATAATAATTGTTTTCAATAAAATAAGGAAAAAATAGCAATGTTGGTCAATTTGATGTTGGTCAACATAAGTCAATTTGATGTTGGTCAATTTGATGTTGGTCAACAATGTTGGTCAACATAAGTAAATAAATCATTACCATCACTTGTAAGTATTCATGTGGAAGGACTTGTTTATTTTCTTCTTTCATGCTCAAAAATTTATCCTAGGCTCAGGTATGTCAGAAACTTATCAAAATGTGAAGTGCATAAATATCGGATTCAGAAGAGCCAAAAAAAACAGTACTACTTTTTACTTATAGCATTCCTGTACTAATTACTTTTCTAGGCATTGGTGGAAAAAATATAATTTTTTCTATTTTTATTTTGACAAATTTGCAGTTTACTATGAGATTTATTGTCTTCTCATCAAGTTTAATAAGTAAAAATAGAAAGCTAAAAATTATTTGTATTATTTTATTGAAAATAATGAGTAAGCTCATTAACTTTGTGACATAATGAATTAATAACACTGGGTTTGACTTATGTTTATAATTATGGTTATGATTATGATACTTACAAAGCAAAATCATCGTTAAATATTTATGACTAATATCTAGTTTTGTTGACTAATTACTAATCTAGTTAATTATTAGATACAGTTAGTTAAGTTTGCAGAAATATTATGATTTCTTATTTTTCTAGTATAATTAAGAAATAAAAATAAAATGGATATATCTTTAATTGTTCTATCTCATGTGATTTTAGCCAATATTGTGGTGATTAAAGTTTATTTACTTATGTGTCTATTTTTTTTACTTTTAATATAGTCGTTTTATTTTTATTTCTTAAATTGTACAAATTTATGAAGTGAAAGTACGATGGATATATTGCTGGATATGAAAATATATTAGTAAGCAAATAAATAAGTGGATGGATGGATGAAATCTATGCTATACACAGTAAACATATGAATGCATGCACTTTTTTTTTTGAATATTCTATTTATCTCACTTAAAAATATATCTGATGGCGTGAACTGTAAAATGATAGCTTAGAAATAAGTCTAGTCTAGCAGATTATAGCCACAAATTTGTGCTTTTTACTACGAGAAAATGAACAGAAAGCATTGTCTTGAAGTGAATCTACGGTGATAACGCATCAGTTCATTAGCAGCTGCTGTTGATCCATTTTGAAGAATTTTCCAACTTTTGGCTAATTACTATTTAGCATTTCTTTTTAATTCTGTTATCTATTCTTTCCAGATTCCCTTAAAATTACTTTTTCATTTGGTTAAAATTTAATAATGCACAACTAAACATCACTAAATATATAAATAAATGAATAAATAAATAAATAAATAAATAGATAGATAGATAGATGGATAGATAGATAGATAGGTAGATAGGAGATAGATAGATAGATAGATAGATAGATAGATAGATAGATAGGTAGATAGAAGATAGATAGATAGATTTTAAATTTCAACTGAACAAGACTTTTCAGATTGTTTAGTGATTGAGATTTATGTAAATTATGATTTGGTTTTCTGGTCAAGAAAAGTTTATCAGTTATTTGTATAAATTTGTATATTATTGTAAAGACATTTCTGTAATATGCATACTTTGGAGATAAATTTACTTTGAGTAATTGTCAGTATAAACGATGAAGTTTGATTAGTCCTAAAAAATTTATTCTTTCATATAGGGTAAGTAAGATGAAATGCTGAGAAATCTCAAAATGTTAGGTTATGAATTTTTCAACATCTTTTCCAATTTAAATACTTATGCTTTATTTATGCAAAAAATGAAGTAAATTTGAAATAACGCATAGATGAGTATTTAAGTTAGCAATAAAACTATGCATGATGCGCATGAGTAAAGATTTCTTCTTAGTTAGTTTAAATAAAACATAGTCTGAATTAGTTCAGGTTTTAAGTGTTCAATTTTGCACATATTAAAATTCAATTTAAAAATAAATTTAGAAAAGTTGATTAATTTTTTTTTAATAAAAAAGTAACACAGTGGATGAAAAGTAAATAACAAAAATAAATTAGCAAAAGCTAAAATTAGCATTTTCGATTACTGCATGAAGTTTGTTCACAAGCCACAAATGGATAGATTGCAAAAGCAGAATACATTTTTGCTAATTTTTTTTTCTCCCAGAAACTGAGATATGTTAATTTTTCATTTATTTTTATTTTTATTTTTATTTTTTATTTTTTAAATTTATTTATTCTATTTTCAGTTTATTATTTTATACACGTATAAAATTCTCTCAATATTCTATTCTACCTTAAACAGTGCAAATTACTTTTTAGTCTAAACTAATTAATTTAGTTAAAAAAGTATAATAAAATAATAATGCATAATTTTTAGTGCTTTTTTTTTCAAATTGAAATTGCAATTGCAATTGCAATTGCTAATGCTATGCGCAAAGTAGAAAACTTTCTAAATTTGGCACTAAAATGCTTATGTTCAGTCTAGCTATCTCAAAAAATATTTAAGTGAGCAAAAAGTTTGTATGAGAGGTAAATTTGCAAATGTCGGAAATATTTTTTATAAAAACCTTCAAATCTTTAGTGAATAATTCTATTTTTTCTCATACAAACATTAATTTTCAATAATGGATTTACATCCCATATTTGAAAAATGCATCTTGATATATTAAATGAACAGTATATTCATATCTATGCATGATTTATACTTTATATGTTTATAATAAAAATAAATTAGTGAATTGTTGTATTTATTTAAGCCTATTTTTTAATTACTAAAACACTACAAATAATTACTCTCACAATCTTTGTGTGGATTATTCACGCATAATATAAACATATTTATACTATATGAACAATTGTAGATTAAAAACATGTTCTTTTTTTAATATATTTTATTTGCAGGTAAGTAGAAAAATATAAACAAAGTTAAATTTATAAATAATTCGAAAGCTTACTCTGAAGATTTTCTAATTTTACGTGAACTTTCAAAGCATTTATAAAATTTAAAACTGCATAACTATTTCAAAATTGTTATATGTATTTATTTGAAACTAAAAATTGT